CTCAAAAGTGACTTCTCGACAATCACCCAGGTGACTTTTGAGTCGACTCAAAAGTGACTTCTCAACAATCACCCAGGTGACTTTTGAGTCGACTCAAAAGTGACGTCTCGACAATCACCCAGGTGACTTTTGAGTCGACTCAAAAGTGACTTCTCGACAATCACCCAGGTGACTTTTGAGTCGACTCAAAAGTGACTTCTCGACAATCACCCAGGTGACTTTTGAGTCGACTCAAAAGTGACTTCTCGACAATCACCCAGGTGACTTTTGAGTCGACTCAAAAGTGACTTCTCGACAATCACCCAGGTGACTTTTGAGTCGACTCAAAAGTGACTTCTCAACAATCACCCAGGTGACTTTTGAGTCGACTCAAAAGTGACGTCTCAACAATCAACCAGGTGACTTTTGAGTCGACTCAAAAGTGACTTCTCGACAATCACCCAGGTGACTTTTGAGTCGACTCAAAAGTGACTTCTCAACAATCACCCAGGTGACTTTTGAGTCGACTCAAAAGTGACGTCTCGACAATCACCCAGGTGACTTTTGAGTCGACTCAAAAGTGACTTCTCGACAATCACCCAGGTGACTTTTGAGTCGACTCAAAAGTGACTTCTCAACAATCACCCAGGTGACTTTTGAGTCGACTCAAAAGTGACTTCTCGACAATCACCCAGGTGACTTTTGAGTCGACTCAAAAGTGACGTCTCGACAATCACCCAGGTGACTTTTGAGTCGACTCAAAAGTGACTTCTTGACAATCACCCAGGTGACTTTTGAGTCGACTCAAAAGTGACTTCTCAACAATCACCCAGGTGACTTTTGAGTCGACTCAAAAGTGACTTCTCGACAATCACCCAGGTGACTTTTGAGTCGACTCAAAAGTGACTTCTCAACAATCACCCAGGTGACTTTTGAGTCGACTCAAAAGTGACGTCTCGACAATCACCCAGGTGACTTTTGAGTCGACTCAAAAGTGACTTCTCGACAATCACCCAGGTGACTTTTGAGTCGACTCAAAAGTGACTTCTCAACAATCACCCAGGTGACTTTTGAGTCGACTCAAAAGTGACTTCTCGACAATCACCCAGGTGACTTTTGAGTCGACTCAAAAGTGACGTCTCGACAATCACCCAGGTGACTTTTGAGTCGACTCAAAAGTGACTTCTCGACAATCACCCAGGTGACTTTTGAGTCGACTCAAAAGTGACGTCTCAACAATCACCCAGGTGACTTTTGAGTCGACTCAAAAGTGACTTCTCAACAATCACCCAGGTGACTTTTGAGTCGACTCAAAAGTGACTTCTCGACAATCACCCAGGTGACTTTTGAGTCGACTCAAAAGTGACGTCTCGACAATCACCCAGGTGACTTTTGAGTCGACTCAAAAGTGACTTCTCGACAATCACCCAGGTGACTTTTGAGTCGACTCAAAAGTGACTTCTCGACAATCACCCAGGTGACTTTTGAGTCGACTCAAAAGTGACGTCTCGACAATCACCCAGGTGACTTTTGAGTCGACTCAAAAGTGACTTCTCGACAATCACCCAGGTGACTTTTGAGTCGACTCAAAAGTGACTTCTCAACAATCACCCAGGTGACTTTTGAGTTGACTCAAAAGTGACTTCTCGACAATCACCCAGGTGACTTTTGAGTCGACTCAAAAGTGACTTCTCAACAATCACCCAGGTGACTTTTGAGTCGACTCAAAAGTGACTTCTCAACAATCACCCAGGTGACTTTTGAGTCGACTCAAAAGTGACTTCTCAACAATCACCCAGGTGACTTTTGAGTCGACTCAAAAGTGACTTCTCGACAATCACCCAGGTGACTTTTGAGTCGACTCAAAAGTGACTTCTCAACAATCACCCAGGTGACTTTTGAGTCGACTCAAAAGTGACTTGTCGACAATCACCCAGGTGACTTTTGAGTCGACTCAAAAGTGACTTCTCAACAATCACCCAGGTGACTTTTGAGTCGACTCAAAAGTGACTTCTCGACAATCACCCAGGTGACTTTTGAGTCGACTCAAAAGTGACTTCTCAACAATCACCCAGGTGACTTTTGAGTCGACTCAAAAGTGACGTCTCGACAATCACCCAGGTGACTTTTGAGTCGACTCAAAAGTGACTTCTCGACAATCACCCAGGTGACTTTTGAGTCGACTCAAAAGTGACGTCTCAACAATCACCCAGGTGACTTTTGAGTCGACTCAAAAGTGACTTCTCGACAATCACCCAGGTGACTTTTGAGTCGACTCAAAAGTGACTTCTCAACAATCACCCAGGTGACTTTTGAGTCGACTCAAAAGTGACGTCTCAACAATCAACCAGGTGACTTTTGAGTCGACTCAAAAGTGACTTCTCAACAATCACCCAGGTGACTTTTGAGTCGACTCAAAAGTGACGTCTCAACAATCAACCAGGTGACTTTTGAGTCGACTCAAAAGTGACTTCTCGACAATCACCCAGGTGACTTTTGAGTCGACTCAAAAGTGACTTCTCAACAATCACCCAGGTGACTTTTGAGTCGACTCAAAAGTGACGTCTCGACAATCACCCAGGTGACTTTTGAGTCGACTCAAAAGTGACTTCTCGACAATCACCCAGGTGACTTTTGAGTCGACTCAAAAGTGACTTCTCGACAATCACCCAGGTGACTTTTGAGTCGACTCAAAAGTGACTTCTCGACAATCACCCAGGTGACTTTTGAGTCGACTCAAAAGTGACTTCTCGACAATCACCCAGGTGACTTTTGAGTCGACTCAAAAGTGACGTCTCGACAATCACCCAGGTGACTTTTGAGTCGACTCAAAAGTGACTTCTCGACAATCACCCAGGTGACTTTTGAGTCGACTCAAAAGTGACTTCTCAACAATCACCCAGGTGACTTTTGAGTCGACTCAAAAGTGACTTCTCGACAATCACCCAGGTGACTTTTGAGTCGACTCAAAAGTGACTTCTCAACAATCACCCAGGTGACTTTTGAGTCGACTCAAAAGTGACTTCTCAACAATCACCCAGGTGACTTTTGAGTCGACTCAAAAGTGACTTCTCAACAATCACCCAGGTGACTTTTGAGTCGACTCAAAAGTGACTTCTCGACAATCACCCAGGTGACTTTTGAGTCGACTCAAAAGTGACTTCTCAACAATCACCCAGGTGACTTTTGAGTCGACTCAAAAGTGACTTCTCGACAATCACCCAGGTGACTTTTGAGTCGACTCAAAAGTGACTTCTCAACAATCACCCAGGTGACTTTTGAGTCGACTCAAAAGTGACGTCTCGACAATCACCCAGGTGACTTTTGAGTCGACTCAAAAGTGACTTCTCGACAATCACCCAGGTGACTTTTGAGTCGACTCAAAAGTGACGTCTCAACAATCACCCAGGTGACTTTTGAGTCGACTCAAAAGTGACTTCTCAACAATCACCCAGGTGACTTTTGAGTCGACTCAAAAGTGACTTCTCAACAATCACCCAGGTGACTTTTGAGTCGACTCAAAAGTGACGTCTCAACAATCAACCAGGTGACTTTTGAGTCGACTCAAAAGTGACTTCTCAACAATCACCCAGGTGACTTTTGAGTCGACTCAAAAGTGACGTCTCAACAATCAACCAGGTGACTTTTGAGTCGACTCAAAAGTGACTTCTCGACAATCACCCAGGTGACTTTTGAGTCGACTCAAAAGTGACTTCTCAACAATCACCCAGGTGACTTTTGAGTCGACTCAAAAGTGACGTCTCGACAATCACCCAGGTGACTTTTGAGTCGACTCAAAAGTGACTTCTCGACAATCACCCAGGTGACTTTTGAGTCGACTCAAAAGTGACTTCTCAACAATCACCCAGGTGACTTTTGAGTCGACTCAAAAGTGACTTCTCGACAATCACCCAGGTGACTTTTGAGTCGACTCAAAAGTGACGTCTCGACAATCACCCAGGTGACTTTTGAGTCGACTCAAAAGTGACTTCTCGACAATCACCCAGGTGACTTTTGAGTCGACTCAAAAGTGACGTCTCAACAATCACCCAGGTGACTTTTGAGTCGACTCAAAAGTGACTTCTCAACAATCACCCAGGTGACTTTTGAGTCGACTCAAAAGTGACTTCTCGACAATCACCCAGGTGACTTTTGAGTCGACTCAAAAGTGACGTCTCGACAATCACCCAGGTGACTTTTGAGTCGACTCAAAAGTGACTTCTCGACAATCACCCAGGTGACTTTTGAGTCGACTCAAAAGTGACTTCTCGACAATCACCCAGGTGACTTTTGAGTCGACTCAAAAGTGACGTCTCGACAATCACCCAGGTGACTTTTGAGTCGACTCAAAAGTGACTTCTCGACAATCACCCAGGTGACTTTTGAGTCGACTCAAAAGTGACTTCTCAACAATCACCCAGGTGACTTTTGAGTTGACTCAAAAGTGACTTCTCGACAATCACCCAGGTGACTTTTGAGTCGACTCAAAAGTGACTTCTCAACAATCACCCAGGTGACTTTTGAGTCGACTCAAAAGTGACTTCTCAACAATCACCCAGGTGACTTTTGAGTCGACTCAAAAGTGACTTCTCAACAATCACCCAGGTGACTTTTGAGTCGACTCAAAAGTGACTTCTCGACAATCACCCAGGTGACTTTTGAGTCGACTCAAAAGTGACTTCTCAACAATCACCCAGGTGACTTTTGAGTCGACTCAAAAGTGACTTGTCGACAATCACCCAGGTGACTTTTGAGTCGACTCAAAAGTGACTTCTCAACAATCACCCAGGTGACTTTTGAGTCGACTCAAAAGTGACTTCTCGACAATCACCCAGGTGACTTTTGAGTCGACTCAAAAGTGACTTCTCGACAATCACCCAGCCGCCTCGCCTCACACGTGGCCACAACCACAACCCACCATGCATGCACACCACCAACGCCACTATCACTGTCCCCTCTCACCTGTATCCAACAGCCACCATCTTATCCAACAGCCACCATCTTATCCAACAGCCACCATCTTATCCAACAGCCACCATCTTATCCAACGCACTCAGCCGCCTCAATGCTGCTGCTGAGTGTCCACCACACACAGTATCGCCTGAACCACCACCACCATCTATACACCACCAACTATACACCCGTTCACGCCACAGCATGCACCCTCTCACCTGTATCCAACAGCCACCATCTTATCCAGCGCACTCAGCCGCCTCAACGCTGCTGCACTCACCATGGCATATTCTAACACTCAGTATCCCCTTCAACTGCCACACTTAAACACACCATCACCACCCCCTCTCACCTGTACCCAACAGCCACCATCTTATCCAGCGCACTCAGCCGCCTCAACGCTGCTGCACTCGCCTGCCTGCCTCCCATCCCAAACCGGTCGTTGAAACCCCACCAGTCCGACCCGTAAGGAATCGTATAGGCCAGCCCATCTCCCACCCCACTGCCGTCACCCACCCCACTGCTACCAAACATATCCTCCTCAGCTGAGACTGCTGCTGCTGCTTCTGCTTCTGCTATTGCCGCTGCTTCTGCTGCTACTGCCGCTGCTTCTGCTGCTGCAGCAGTGGTAATAGGGGGAATGGCGGGCGGTGGGGCGGGCGGCGGGGGTTGGATGGGGGCGGGGGCGGTCCAGAGGGAGTCGAGGCGGGCTCGCACGATCCAGCTGTAGCGCAGGGGCGGTGCTGACGTGGCTTCAAACGATTGGATCATGTCCCAGCACCCCTCCACCAGGCGGAAGTACTGTAGCAGTCCCTGCAGGGTGGGGTGAAGGAGTGAGAGGAAAGGGGAGAGTAGGGGGAGGAGAGGGGACAGAGAAAGGAAGGATATGGTGAGAATTGGGTGGGGGCAAGAAGGAGTGAAATAGAAGGACAGATGAAAGGAAAAAGGAGAACCCAAAGAGGGGGATTCAAGGAACGGAGAGGAAGAGAGAAAGAGGGTGAGGCAATAATAGCGTAAGAGAAGGAATGATGTTTGGGATTTGTCGTGTGCCATTGTAACGAGGTAACTATTGAGTGGACCCAAAAGTAAGAAGAAACTACTTTTTTTTTTTTTTTTTTTTCTGGATTTTCAACATGAACGATTGTGAGAAGGCTTCTCTGCTGAAAAGGAGGGAATTCCATACCAGACCCGCACGACGAAAGGGAGAAGCAGAAACAGAAACAGTAACAGAAGCATAAACAGAAGTACAAGAAGCAGAAGCAGAAATAGAAACAGAAACAGAAGCAGCAGCAGAAGAAGAATCAGAAGCAGAATGACGTCTCTCATCCTCCTGTTCACGTGGTGACTTTTGAGTCACCACGTCTCTCATCCTCCTGCTCACCTGGTGACTTTTGAGTCACCACGTCTCTCATCCTCCTGCTCACCTGGTGACTTTTGAGTCACCACGTCTCTCATCCTCCTGCTCACCTGGTGACTTTTGAGTCACCACGTCTCTCATCCTCCTGCTCACCTGGTGACTTTTGAGTCACCACGTCTCTCATCCTCCTGCTCACCTGGTGACTTTTGAGTCACCACGTCTCTCATCCTCCTGCTCACCTGGTGACTTTTGAGTCACCACGTCTCTCATCCTCCTGCTCACCTGGTGACTTTTGAGTCACCACGTCTCTCATCCTCCTGCTCACCTGGTGACTTTTGAGTCACCACGTCTCTCATCCTCCTGCTCACCTGGTGACTTTTGAGTCACCACGTCTCTCATCCTCCTGCTCACCTGGTGACTTTTGAGTCACCACGTCTCTCATCCTCCTGCTCACCTGGTGACTTTTGAGCCACCACGTCTCTCATCCTCCTGCTCACCTGGTGACTTTTGAGTCACCACGTCTCTCATCCTCCTGCTCACCTGGTGACTTTTGAGTCACCACGTCTCTCATCCTCCTGCCCACCTGGTGACTTTTGAGTCACCACGTCTCTCATCCTCCTGCTCACCTGCAAGCCCTGAGGCGAGGACTCCCAGTTGAGCGCCCTTTTCCTGTTGTCTGTCTCGTCCAAATCACTGCTCGGGAAGATCTTCACACTCGCTATAGTCACACCCTCTACTCCAAGCCCCCCTGCCCCAAACCCTGCCCCAAACCCTCCCCCCTTGATTCCTCCAAATAAGCCAAGTTTGGCAGTGGTTTCGTCCAGAGGCGCGTGCAGGAAGAGGTGTAAGGGGTGGTGTGGGGGGTGGGAGAGGTGTGAGGAGCGGTGTGAGGGGTGGGAGGAGGGTTGCGCGGAGGGCAGCAGCAGGTGGCGCAGCAGTGAAGGGCCCGTTGCCTCAAAGGCCCGCGCCGACCCCACCAGACACATTGCTATGGGCGGCTGAGGGCATGGGGCAGGGGGCAGGAGGCAGGGGGCAGGGGGCAGGGAAGGAAAGAGAGCAGTGGGAAAGACGGAGGGGGAAGTGAAAGAGCTGATCAAATAGCCTCAAAGGCACGCGGTGAGCTCACCAGACACAAGGCACAGCGGAGAGGGATGGGGATTGGGGGCAGAGGGCAGGGAAAGAGAGCACTGGGACCCGTAGGCAGGTAGCAGTTCAGTGGCGTGATATAAACGGCTATTTCCCGGAAACGCGCACCAATGTGTCTCATCTCACCGCTCGCTCCTTATTCTCTGAGCTGTTCTGATTCGGTGTATTCAAGCCAGACAGATAGATAAGCAGCGGCACGAGCGGCTGTATCAGCCGCCAGAGAAATATTCACCTCACCTCCAAAGTGTCTTGATACGTTGCATTCAAGGCCGAGAATGAGACAAGCAGCGGAACCAGCGCCGCCGCGCAGGCTGCTAGCAGGCACACGGATCGCAATCCCGAGCGCGGCTGCAGCCAACAGGAACCGCCAGCGGCGCGATCACGCGACTTGGGAAGGCGAAACGGGGAGGGAGCCATGAACTGAGGCCGAAAATCAGGCGGATTTGCTACCTTCAATATGTGAGCAATGACTTTTGAGTTGAGTCAAAAAGGGGTTACGGGGTGACGAATCGCGTGGTCCAGGCTCAGAATTCAAGCAGGTTTCATTCCGTCAACCTGTGAGCCTTGACCTTGGAGTAGACTGAGAAGGGGTTGACGAACCGCGTGGTCCAGGCTCGGAAGTGACTCAGCCATTAAGGCCGAGGCGCAAGCCCAGGTGTGACGCGACTGTCGAGTCGACTCAATCACATGCACATTCCTACTTATGGGGACTTTCTAGGGTTTGAAACAAAATACTCGTGAGCGAACGGCCGTGGCACAAAGAACGGCCCAATGGGATCATCACCTGTCAAAACCATGGATCCAGATTCGTGTCGCTTAGGGGGTCGAATTTTGCCACAAGCGCGGGCGGGGTGGCGCAAAAAAACGCGTTATGGGGAATAGGAGAGATTCCATAAGAAACCTTTCACGACTAGCTATTACTACGTGTGCGAGCCTTTCCATAAAATAATACCTGAAGGCCAGGATTGTATGCACTGCTACACCTGAGGCGACTGCGAACAATTTCTGCTTTTTGAGTTACAGGGATATATTTATTTCAGTGTTACGGTTGATGGCATCATCACAGTTGTCAGTCGACTGACAGCTGATTACTAAAACCGGACTTGGCGGGAAAAAGTGTAAACAGTCGTCAAACCAGTCGGCACAGTCGTCGAACCAACAAAAGTCCACCTTCCGACCAATCAGGGTTACAATCTGTCAGCACCGGACCAATCGAGCTCACGCATGACAGGGACCTCGAGTAATCACCCAAACGAAACGTAGGGGGTGTCGTCGAAACACAATTTGCCCGTGGCGACATTCGCCATAATACATCCGGCCGGCGCTGCTCCCTAGGTCAGCAGCCCTCGTCGTCAGGCCTATGGAAGTTCCTCTTCGGACCAATCAAGGTTACACGCTGTCAGCACCGGACCAATCGAAATCATGGATGAGACTCCAGATGGGTACGTCAAGTAATCAGCCAATCCCATCGCAGTTAGGATCGTCGATCGAATACCCATGGTGTGGCGGCGAGTCGTCGTGGCAACGTCGCATTCGCCCTGACCACAACCTCGATGCCACTGCTCCCCAGGTTCAGCTGATTTTCCCCTGCTCTCAGGCTTTACCTTAATCTACAGTATCAGACCGAACGGGGTAGGTATATCTCAGGCGATTAGTCGAGCCATAGAAACCTGACTGGGCCAACGGCTGCCCGCGGGCAAAAACAATAACCTCATACAGTTGGCATACCCCTCAGCAAGCATGAATTTGATCATTGTCGGACCCGCCGCCCTAAGCACGAAATCCCGCATTGTGTTTAGGGTTTTTACTTCATCGTGATGGCCTGTTCCTGCCCGCGGTCAGTTGACGCTGACATCGCACGTCACTCGACGTTGCCTCAGGACGGACGTTGGCCAGCTAAATGCCTGGGACGTACAGCAGACTAGTGCGGAGCAGATGCCAAGAGGATGCGGAATCGGTGGTTTCATTTGTTTACTCTGTGCGGCTGCCTGCCTGCCAGCCAGTGCCTCTTTACGCGTAGGTTTCAAGGGAGCTATTTGTCTGCCATCGTTCGGGCCGCGTTTTCAAGGACGAGTATAAAATTGTTTGTTAGGATCGCCGGGACCTTGCAAAGAAGCCAAGAAATGGCCATCGCGCGTCGTAGAGCACTCGGCGGCGTTGAACATGCACAGAGAACCGGCGGGAAAATTGGAACGTGGGCATGATACTGTGCGTACGGGTACAAGGGACCAAGGTTCCGACTTGTTAGGGTTGGTTCGATGAACCACGAAACCTACGGCGAGATGCGGAATGACGGCGGAATGGAGTGCGTGGGAGATTTTAGATCTAAGACGGTGGAAATCGACCTACGGTGGAGAATAGAAGCTACGGCGTGAGAAGCGGGAAGGAAATCGAGAAGGAATGTGCAGGAAGGAGGAATAGAGAAGGAGAAGCATCGAGAATGAGATCGACGGGGGAAATTGTGGTTCAAGCTTGAGGCGCGTTCGAGAAGGTTCGAGATTCGGACTCAAGAAATGTTCGGTGCATTCGGTTCGGTTCCGTGTGCGACTCGGGGTGAAACGAGGCACACGCGGTTACTTGGGAAACAAGTGAAGTTACGAATCGCATTTTGTGTCTTGCCTGACCATAAAACTGCTTGTACTCATTCTGGGAATCACAACATTGGACAACATTGAGATTCTGAAATTGCTGAAGTGTGTATTGACAACTTCAAGCAGAGCTGCGCATATCGTTGGATTTGGGAGATCGTGGAGAACACGATAAGCAATAGCAAGTAGACTATTGCCGACTAAGGTGTTTACGATCCTAAGACGACTAATCCGGAATTCTGTCCGTCATTTTGAGTCGACTCGAAGAGGCCCAGCACGGTCTGGATTCTCCTTAAATTGAGCTTGCACTACGAATCCCCTTACTGGTCGCCAGAACAAGTCTTAGGGTCGTTTTGATTGTGCCTGAAACGAGTAGCCGGCGCTTCTGATACAGTCACACTCAGCGAGTGTCATTTGCGCGTTACTACGTCTGTAGCCGAAGCGATTGGTAAGGATCGGGGCCGAGCTCCTGTCAGAATTCTCCCGTTAGTAGCTCACTCACCTTTCTTCGGTTGGCCTTCTACGCGGTTGTTTTTCTATGGAATTAACTCACCCCTCACCCGCCACCATAGGTTACATTTGGAGGGCGCTTCGCCTAGCTCGTGCGGCCTTTATTCGCCTAAAGGCCGGACTAGCAGGGGGCGGCGCGATGGTGCTTCTAAGAGCCACGGCTTTCGTTTTAGTCTTCGCCGTGCTGACGGCCGCGTTCTCAGCGGTGCACTGGCCGCTCAGACGCTCGTGGATCGACGACCTCATTGCACCTGAAGAAAGGGATGATGATGTGAGTGAGTGAGTGATTGAGTGAGTGAGTGAGCGATGTTTGGCCACGGCTTTCGTTTTAGTCTTTGCCGTGCTGATGGCCGCGTTCTCGGCGGTGCACTGGCCGCTCAGACGCTCATGGCGCGACAACCTCGAGGCTCCTGGAGGAGGGGATGATGCGAGTGAGTGAGTGAGTGAGGGAGGGATTGAGGGCGTTAGTGAATGAACGAGAGAGTGAGAGTGAGTGAACTTGGGTGAACTTGTATCAGCTCAAAGCTAGAGGTCTCAAATTCAGTCAGCGCAAAGCTAAAGGTCTCAAATTCAGTCGGTTCAAAGTCAGTCTCAGATTAAATTGGCTCAAATCCAGGCATCCCAAGATGTCGCAAACCTCTTTTAGCCGCACCACCTCCTTCTCTTCTCCTCACCATCATGTGAGGCTGTGAATCTGTGATGGCTACATGCCTTTGAAACCACCCCATCAACAACACGTTCTCAAACCCCACACCTACCCCTGCCCCATGCCCCCTGCCCCATGCCCCATGCCCCCTGCCCCATGCCCCATGCCCCCTGCCCCGTGGCCCCAGTCGCCACCCCTTCCTCCCAAAGAAGTGTGTCTGGTGGGGTCGGCACTTGCCTGTGAGGCCGACTGAATCAACCACTCTACCCCCTCTCCATTCTTCCTTCTTCCCCATGTTCTCTTCCCCTCCCCTCAGCCGCCCATAGCAATGTGTCTGGTGGGGTCGGCGCGGGCCTTTGAGGCCATTCAAGCAGCTCTTTCACTCCCCTGTTTGCATGTTTCTGTCTGCTCTCCTCCCTCCCCCCAGCCGCCCATAGCAGTGTGTCTGGTGGGGTCGGCGCGGGCCTTTGAGGCAACGGGCCCCTCGCTGCCGCGCCACCTACTGCTGCCCTCCGCACACCCCTCCCCCCAACACCTCTCCCACCGTTCCCACCTCCCCCACCTCTCCCACCGCCCCTTACACCTCTTCCTGCACGAGCCTCTAGACGAAACCTCTGCCAAACTCAGCTTCCTCCGAAGCTTCGTCCGCAGTACCAGCAGCGGCAGCTGGGGCAGCACTATCAGCTGGGGCAGCGGTATCAGCTGGAATTCTGGATTAAAACGGAAGGCGAGGGGTAATGACGTGGCAGCTCGGGATTGGTCACAGCTGGCGCGGGAAAACGCCATAGCAGCTGTGAGGGTCTTCCCGAACAATGACGTGGATGAGACAAAATACCCCACTGGCGTGATGTTCACTGGAGATTCCCCCAGCGGCCTGCAGGGACTGCTACAGTACTTCCGCCTGGTGGAGGGGTGCTGGGACATGATCCAATCGTTTGAAGCCACGTCAGCACCGCCCCTGCGCTACAACTGGATCGTGCGAGCCCGCCTCGACTCCCTCTGGACCGCCCCCGCCCCCATCCAACCCCCGCCGCCCATCCTGCCGCCCAGTGTCCCTGCTATAGCCACCACCGCCGCTGCACCAGCAGGAGCAGCAGCAGCAGTAGCAGCAGCAGCAATTGTTGATGACATTGGGGTGGGTGATAACTTGGCCTACACGATTCCGTATGGGTCGGACTGGTGGGGGCTTAACGACCGGTTTGGGATGGGAGGGAGGCAGGCGAGTGAAGCAGCGTTGAAGCGGCTGAGTGCGCTGCAGCTGCTGGCAAGGCGGAAGATGCGGTGAGCGAATGGGTGTGAATGGGTGTGAAGGGGTGGGAATGTTTCTCCGCTTCGCCCTCCCCGCTCTGCTTCTCCCTCCCCTACTCTGCTTCTCCGTCCCCTGCTCTGCCTCTCCCTCCCACCATCCTCTCCCCGTCCCAGAGACCTCAACTCAGAGAGACCCTTAAAGCCCAGCTAGCCCTGGAGGGCGTCAGCTAGCCCAGAAGGGTACAACAAGCCAACGTGCCCTTCTGTGCGCTCACCTACCCTCCTCCCATGCCTGACCCCCCACCCTCCTCTTGCTCTTCCTCTCAGGAACCTCAATTCAGAAGGAGCCTTTAAAGCCCAGCTATCGCTAGGGGGCATCAAGGTGCAACGAGCCAGCCTGCCCTTCTGTGTGCTCTCCCAACGCACCTACACTGACGGCTGTGCCCCCACCGTTTACTCCCTCAACTCTTCCGTGCCGCTAAATGGCGCCAAATGCCGCCCGTGCAGCCGCCCGTGTGCTACAGGCGAAAAGGTAAGAAGAGTGAAGGTTTTTTTTGGGCACATCAAAAGTTGTTACTGGTGGTTTTCGAGGATTCGCAAAAGCCCTGCAAGGCAAAGGCGTCCCATGTGCCACCACCCATTTTTTTTTTAGAATTCTCAAAAGGACAGATCCACCCTTGTGCCGCGTCCCTTGTGCCGCGTCCCTTGTGCCGCGTCCCTTGTGCCGCGTCCCTTGTGCCGCGTCCCATGTGCTGCCACCCATGTGCTGCCACCCATGTGCTCTCTCAACTCCTCAGTACCGCTAAATAGCGGCAAATGCCGCCCGTGCAGCCGCCCGTGTGCTTCTGGGAGGAAGGTAACTGATAAGGGGAGATTGCCGCTGGTGCCGGCCATGCGACCGTCTGTGTGCTTCTTTTGAGACGTCTCAAAAATTCACTTTTTACACGGCTTGCTGCGACCACACGGCTTGCTGCGACCACACGGCTTGCTTCAGTTCGAATCCTTCCTTACTCTGCAAGAGGCTACTTCTTTTGAGACGTCTCAAAAAATCACTTTTTACACGTGCCGGCCATGCGACCGCCTGTGTGCTTCTGGCAGGAACTGGCCGCATTCCCCATTTCCCCTTCCCCCAGGCACGAGCTCCCTTTTGAGTTGACTCAAAAGTTTGCCCATGCGACCGCCTGTGTGCTTCTGGCAGGAACTGGCCGTATTTCCTCATTTCCCCTTCTTCCAGGCCCGAGCTCTTGTCTCCCGCATCGCCCCTTCCGAACCTAACTGGCCGTGGCTAGCAGCGGGGGAGGGCGAGGTGGGGGTGTGTGTGACTCAACCTTATTCATCTCTCCTCCTCCCCCCACGCGCCTACCCCTTTCCTTCAGGCCCGAGCTCTCGTCTCCCGCATCGCCCCTTCCGAACCTAACTGGCCGGGGCCTGCAGCTGGGGAGGGCGAGGTGGGGGTGTGTGATGCGGCGAGGGGGTGGGAGAAAGGGTGGGAGGCGGAGTTTGATGCGGTTATGGGGGAGGATATGGCGGAGGGGAGGAGGCAAGTGGTGCAGGAGGCAATGGGGAGTATTGACGAGTGTGAGCAAGCATGGGATGAGGTGAGATTGAGGAGGAGGTGAGAGTTAGAATAGGCGAGATCGACATGAGGTGAGAGGGGGAAGGGGCGAGCTTCAAATGAGGTGAGAGGGGGAAGGGGCGAGCTTCAATTGAGGTGAGAGGGGGAAGGGGCGAGCTTCAATTGAGGTGAGAGGGTGAAGGGGCGAGCTTCAATTGAGGTGAGAGGGGGAAGGGGCGAGCTTCAATTGAGGTGAGAGGGGGAGAAAGGGTGGGAGGGGGAGTTCGACGCAGTGATGGGGGGGAGATGGCGTAGGAGCGGAGGCAGGTTGTGCGGGAGGCGATTGGGAGCATTGACGAGTGTGTGAAGGCGTGCGAAGAGGTGAGAGTGGGAGGAGGTGAGGGTGGGAGGAGGGATAAGAGGGGAGGTTTAGTGTAACTTACAGAGGTGCAGGCAAGTGGTGCAGGCAAGTGGTGCAGGAGGCAATGGGGAGCATTGAAGAGTGTGTGCTGGCTTGGGATGAGGTGAGAATGGGGAGGAGGTGAAAGTGGGAGAGGCGTGGGCGGAGGAGAGTGAGAGGAGGTGATTTTGAGAAAAGGTGAGATTGAGACGAGGCGAGTGAGAAAAGGTGAGATTGACATGAGGTGAGAGTGGGAAGAGGGGTGGAAAGAGGGGTGGGAGGGGGGGTTTGATGTGTTGATGGGGGGAGAGATGGCGGAGGGGCGGAGGCAGGTGGTGCGGGAGGCAATGGGGAGCATTGAAGAATGTGTGCTGGCGTGGGAAGAGGTGAGTGGGAGGGGGTGAGAGTGGGAGGAAGTGAGGTTGGGAGGAGGTGAGGTTGGGAGGAGGTTAGAGTGGGAGGAGGTGAGAGCAAGAGGTGGTGAGAGTGAGAGGAGCGAGAGCAAGATGAGGTTAGAGTAAGAGGAGGTGAGAGTGGGAGGAGGTGAGAGTGGGAGGAGGTGAGTAGGAGGAGGTTAGAGTGAGAGGAGGTTAGAGTGGGAGGAGGTTAGAGTGAGAGGAGGTTAGAGTGGGAGGAGGTTAGAGTGGGGGGAGTCTGCTTTTTCGAAATTGAATGCTTATCCACCTAATTCAATTTTCGAGGCGCCTCAAAACCGTCTCAAAAAGAAAATTAGGCGCCTCTAAATCCAGATTCTCATCCACTCCACGCCCGCCCCTCCACTCGGTGACTTTTGAGTCGACTCAAAAGTCATACGCCAGACTGGCATCCACGTCATCGCCCCCTGCACAGCCCCGAGGTGACTTTTGAGTCGACCCAAACGTATGCCCCTGCACATGTTTTGAGGCGCCTCAGAACTTGGCCCCCTGCACAGCCGCCCCGAGGTGAGTTTTGAGTCGACCCAAAAGTCACTTGAGATTGGGTCGACTCGCATCCACGTCCACCCGTCCACTCGCTACCCTCCTCTCATCCTTCTCCACCCACCTTCAAATTCACCTCCACAGTTCCGTCCGTGCCCTCACTGTGTGCTTCCGAGCTGCCTCCATGCTTCATGATGTGCATGAGCATTCTCATCTCCTCATGACTCAGCTGCAGGGTGTTTTTGAGAAATTCTCAAAAACACCCTGCTGCATGAGCATTCTCATTTCCTCACAACCCGCTTGCGCACAAGCTCGCGTCTGCTTCCCATCCCACCTTCCCAGTTTCGTGCCATCAACGTATCCTGGGATGGGATGCGCCAAAGAGGTGACTTTTGAGTCGACTCAAAGATACGCCAAAGCCATCATCGTGAGCAGTCTACATGTGAGCTCGTGTATGCTTCCCACATCCCCTCCCATCCATCCCCGCTCCCCTCATCCCAGTTCCACGCCCTCACCATCTCCTGGGATGCGCCACCATCCCGAGCAGTGTGCGTGCGAGCTCCTTGCGTCCCTCCCTCATTGCATTCCCGCTCCGCCTTTCCTTTCTCTCCCCCCTCTCTCAGTTCCACGCCCTCACGGTCTCCTGGGATGCGCCATCACCCCGAGCAGTGTGCGTGCGAGCCCGCATGGGGCCCAGCGCATGGGTGGGGGGAGGGCCGCGGGGAGACGGGAGATTTGCCACGTTTCTCTCCCTGCTCTCTGCATCAAGGTTGGTACCTCGTGCTGCTCAAAGACATTGTTGCTGTGCTTGCAAGCGCAACAGTTTTGTGGGTGAAGGGGGGGGGGGGGGGGGGGGCACGGGGAGACGGGAGATTCGCCACCTTTCTCTCCCTACTCTCTGCCGCAAGGTTGGTGGCAACTAATGCTTTCCGCACCGTCAAGTTTGACGGGAGGTTCGCCACCTTCCTTTCCCTGCTCTCCGCGTCAAGGTGGGTTGGTGCCAGCTAGTGCCCAAGCCAGTTAGTGACTGTCTGTCGCTATGCTTGCAAGTGTGGCAACTTGTGGGTGGGGGGAGAGCCACGGTCAGAGATTCGCCACCGCCACGGTCGGACAGGAGATTCGCCACCTTCCTCTCCCTGCTTGACAGCAGCTGGTTGACAGCAGCTGGTTGACAGCAGCTGGTTGACAGCAGCTGGTTGACAGCAGCTGGTTGACAGCAGCTGGTTGACAGCAGCTGGTTGACAGCAGCTGGTTGGCAGCAGCTGGTTGGCAGCAGCTGGTTGACAGCAGCTGGTTGGCAGCAGCTGGTTGGCAGCAGCTGGTTGACAGCAGCTGGTTGACAGCAGCTGGTTGACAGCAGCTGGTTGGCAGCAGCTGGTTGGCAGCAGCTGGTTGACAGCAGCTGGTTGACAGCAGCTGGTTGGCAGCAGCTGGTTGACAGCAGCTGGTTGACAGCAACTAGTTGCAAATTAACGTTGAGCCACAGTCGGACAGGAGATTCGCCACCAACCACGGTCGGACAGGAGATTCGCCACCAGCCACGGTCGGACAGGAGATTCGCCACCAGCCACGGTCGGACAGGAGATTCGCCACCAGCCACGGTCGGACAGGAGATTCGCCACCTTCCTCGCTCTGCTCTCCACCTCAAAGTTCATTTGTTGTTCACCCCCTTCCTCTCATTTTAATATGAATGTGGTTTTCTGGCAGCCCATCGCATTCCTCAGTTGCTCAACTAGTTGCTGTCAACGTTGCATCGTAATCTTTGCTGCATTTAACAGTGCTGCCGCTGCCTAATGCGCTGTTAGTAAAGATGGGTGCTGCCTAAAGATTGGTGTTTTAGCCTGTGCTGACGTGAACGATGCAGCGATGGTGCTTCGAATGCCACTGCTTGCGTTGCATCTTAATGGGTGCTGTTATAGCCAGTGCTGCCCACAGCTTTGCTGGTAAAGATGGGTGCTGCCTAAAATGTTGGTGTTGAAGTCAGTGCTGCCATTGATGGTACAGCAATGCTGCTGCAAATGATACTGCCTGCATTTTGTTTATTTTGTTCCTTCCTGTCTGCAGCAAGGTGGTGGTTGTGGCAGAGGGTAGCCGAGTCAAGAGCACACTAGCGGTGCTGCTTGTTCCAATTAGAATGATGCTGCTTCAATCGATGCTAATTTTTCATCAGCTGCCTGCTCTTCTCGTTTGTTCTCTTTGTGTGTGCAGCAATGTGGTGGTTGTGGTGGAGGGAGGTCAAGACAGCAGCATGCTTCAAACGAACCAGCAGCCACTGGAGGGGGATGAAACAAGAGGCAGTGCTGGAGTGAAAAGGAGGTTGCTTGGGCACCTGAGGCACCTAAGGAGGTTGCTTGCACCTGACACTGTAGCACCTGGCAATTTATCACCTGACACTGTAGCACCTGGCAATGTATCACCTGACACTGTAGCACCTGGCAATGTATCACCTGGCACTGTAGCAACTGGCTCAGTAACACCTGGCGTTGTAGCGCCTGGCACTGTAGCACCTGACACTGTAGCAGCTGGTGCTTCTGTATCACCTGGCCCTGACACTGTAGCACCGATTGTGGATGTGGGAGTGTTCAGTGCATGGAAGAAGGATCTGGGCCGTCGGATCAAGGGCATCTCCATCTCTCACCGTACGCTCGCATGGCTGCAGGGCGAAGCAGCGAAAGAAGAAGATGCTCCAATCGATGTTCTCCTGGTGGGTGGTGCCCTGGTGGGTGGTGCCCTGGTGGGTGGTGCCCTGGTGGGTGGTGCCCTGGTGGGTGGTGCCCTGGTGGGTGGTGCCCTGGTGGGTGGTGCCCTGGTGGATGGTGCCCTGGTGGGTGGTGCCCTGGTGGGTGGTGCCCTGGTGGGTGGTGCCCTGGTGGGTGGTGCCCTGGTGGGTGGTGCCCTGGTGGGTGGTGCCCTGGTGGGTGGTGCGCTGGTGGGTGGTGCGCTGGTGGATGGTGCGCTGGTGGATGGTGCGCTGGTGGATGGTGCGCTGGTGGATGGTGCGCTGGTGGATGGTGCGCTGGTGGATGGTGCGCTGGTGGATGGTGCGCTGGTGGATGGTGCCCTGGTGGATGGTGCCCTGGTGGATGGTGCCCTGGTGGTGGTGCCCTGGTGGGTGGTGCCCTGGTGGGTGGTGCCCTGGTGGGTGGTGCCCTGGTGGGTGGTGCCCTGGTGGGTGGTGCCCTGGTGGGTGGTGCCCTGGTGGGTGGTGCCCTGGTGGGTGGTGCCCTGGTGGGTGGTGCCCTGGTGGGTGGTGCCCTGGTGGGTGGTGCCCTGGTGGCTGGTGCCCTGGTGGATGGTGCCCTGGTGGATGGTGCCCTGGTGGATGGTGCCCTGGTGGATGGTGCCCTGGTGGATGGTGCCCTGGTGGATGGTGCCCTGGTGGATGGTGGTGGGTGGTGCCCTGGTGGGTGGTGCCCTGGTGGATGGTGCCCTGGTGGATGTTGCCCTGGTGGATGGTGCCCTGGTGGATGGTGCCCTGGTGGGTGGTGCCCTGGTGGGTGGTGCCCTGGTGGATGGTGCCCTGGTGGGTGGTGCCCTGGTGGATGGTGCCCTGGTGGATGGTGCCCTGGTGGATGGTGCCCTGGTGGATGGTGCCCTGGTGGATGGTGCCCTGGTGGATGGTGCCCTGGTGGATGGTGCCCTGGTGGATGGTGCCCTGGTGGATGGTGCCCTGGTGGGTGGTGCCCTGGTGGATGGTGCCCTGGTGGATGGTGCCCTGGTGGGTGGTGCCCTGGTGGATGGTGCCCTGGTGGATGGTGCCCTGGTGGATGGTGCCCTGGTGGGTGGTGCTTTGCTTTTCTTGAGACGCCTCAAAGGTCGCCTCACCACTCGCATGGCTGCAAAGTGAAGCAGAGAAAGAACAAGGCCTAATAGATGTTATACGCGATGTTCAGACATTTGTCAGAGAGCTCAATCGATGTTTCTCCCGGCGAGAGAGGTTTTTCTTTCTTCTCGACTCGACTCAACTCAAGAGTCACATCTGATCTGCATCGATGTTTCTCCCGGCGAGAGAGGTTTTTGTTTCTTCTCGACTCGACTCAACTCAAGAGTCACATCTGATCTGCTCTCATCCAACCCCCCTTCTCCTCCCCTCCAATGTTCTCCTGGCGAGTGAGCGAGTGATTATTTGCTTTGTTCTCCTGTTCTATTCACAAAGCACATGTTCTATTCACAAAGCACATGTTGTATTCACAAAGCACATGTTCTATTCACAAAACACATGTTCTATTCACAAAGCACATGTTCTATTCACAAAGCACATGTTCTATTCACAAAGTACATGTTCTATTCACAAAACACATGTTCTATTCACAAAGCACATGTTCAATTCACAAAGCACATGTTCTATTCACAAAGCACATGTTTTATTCACAAAGCACATGTTCTATTCACAAAGCACATGTTCTATTCACAAAGCACATGTTCTATTCACAAAGCACATGTTCTATTCACACCCAGCCTCACTTCCCCTCCCCTCCTCCTCACACCACTTCTTCCCCCACCCGCTCCACCTCACCTCTCTGCCCGTCTTCGCCACACCTTAGCCCTTTCTCAGCCTCAGTTGTCTCTCTCCCTAGCCCTTGCATCTATGACAGCACAGTGGTCAGCCAATCCCAGAGTGCCACCTCACCTCTCTTCCCATCCTCGCCACTCCTTTACCCTTCCTCACCCCAGGTGCCCCTCTCCCCAAGTTCTGCATCTGTTATAGCGCACTGGTCAGCCAATCGCAGTGTGCCACGTGTGTGCCAGCTGTTGCTGGCAGCAGAGTCTGCTGCGGAATTAGGGGTTATAGAGACTGCAATCCAACATCTAGGGAATGTGGGAATGCAATTAGAGAAGTGCGCACTTGTCAGGCGCGGCGAGGGTCGACACTGTACTTTCTACTCTGTATTATCCTGTATAAAATAAAAAGCATGACGCAAGTGCTTATCGATTCGCAGCGAGTTAAGCTAGAGCTTGTTGTTAAGGGTTTATTGGTGAAAAGGAGCATAGTATGACGTGATGCTACAACTGGAGTAGCTACAGGTTCGAGGATGGAAGCAGGAACCAAAATTGGTTTTTGGCCACCCTGGGAAATCAGGTGCCAAGCCAAGGCTACCCTACCCTGACTTGTACCAGTAGGTAAAAAAAAACGTTAGCCTTACAAATTCATCAGGGTAAAAAAAAAGCTTACAGTACCTTACTCTGTTGGTGGCAGGGTAAGAAAATTGGTACACTGTTTTCTGACCATCTAATCGTCAGACAGGCCCAAAAACTAGCTAAGACCCTGCCTCACACCATCACAAAGAACAAAAGGAAACAACATCCAGCCAGATTAGACCACAACAGCCCATTTACGAAAATGCTCACATGAGCAGCACAAGTGCAATCGCCAGAACGACCCTCCCCCAGCACACCCAGTACCCAATTCTAGCATTGCTTATTCAACCTAGACAAAACCTAAACAACAGCAGCTAGCTGTGAAGTTGCACAACGTGGTTCTCGCTTCCGATATTGCTCGTTGTGCAACCTCGCCTCGCTTCAAGACTGCCCTGTTTCCTTGCCAAGGGAAAGCAAGCAGCCCGTAAAAGGTCGCCGCAGTCTCAACTCTTCTTGGCAAAGGAGACCAGCACGAGATAATCTGCCAACACCGGCTTCACACCTGACAGCTGTACATCCGCCACAGGCCGTTCATTTCTCACCACCGGCTGCCCATTGCCCACCGCCGCCTGCCCATTGCCCACAGGCTGCGCCGCGCCCGCCCGCTGTGCTGCAACCGTTGGCTCTCCGACCACGGGCGTCAGGCTCTGAAAAACCTCCGCCACGTAGGTGCTGGTCGCGGGTGGGGAGGCGCGGCGGTGTCTCAAGCGGCGAGCTACAGGGGCAACGGCGGCGGCTTTCAGAGTGATGCTCCAGTTGACGCCGGCGACCACCTGGCTCTTGGCACTCTCGACCGAGACCAACTTGAGGCCCGTGCCCTGACAGGGTGGGGTGGGGTGGGGTGGGATGGGGTGGGGAAGGAAGGGAAGCATTTGAGGCTTGTGACGGGGCACTTGAGACTTGAGGCTTCAGTGTTGACTCAAAAGTCAACGCGGGTGGGGAGCCGCGGCGGCGTCCCAAGGGGCGACCTCCTCCCACTCTCACCTCACCTCCTCCCTCTCTCACTTCTGATTCTAAGACGTCTCAGGCTCGACTGGTACGCACGTTAAAAGACAGACTGTCTTAAGACTCGGTACCTCTTTCTTTGTTGTGCGCGTTGACGGCGAAGCTGACCAAACACAAGTGAATTCTTTGGCACCGCAAAACACTGAATGGCACTGAGCCTTTTCACTAGGTGCCTAGTACTACCTCCAAAGTGGCTTCTCTAGGTGCCTATACCTCTTTCTTGTTGTACGCGTCGACGGCGAAGCTGGCCACTTGCTTTACTTCCTTACTTTTTGCCGCGCCTTTCACGGCGGACCAGCCGCCAAGAAGCGATCCCGCCGCAGCGAACGGAACCGAGGAGAGAACCACGGCGACTGCTGAGACGGCAAGCATCATCATGGCGTAATTTACGCGACTGGCGATGCGCCGACCCATGATTGGTTGTTCGTGATATCGGGCTACTAGTAGTAGGATGACAAGTGGAAGTTTCGATTGGAGTCAGGCGGCGGAAGCAGACGAGTTTTCGTTTACTACATATTCGTTGACTACTAGCGCTCACTCTTCCAAGCCGTGAACTCTCTGTCAATTATCTCCATATGATCTGCCAGCTAGTCGTGAATATTCTAAGCGTGGCTCCTTGACTGTGAAAGGAATTATTGGGTGGAAGCCTTGACTCGCTGGCGGAATGAGTGGTCGCCTCGCCAATGCCCATAAAAAATATATATAACATTTGATGAAACGAGGTTGCGAACGCGCAACTCGACAACCGATTGGGTACTGTACTGCGCACAAGCTCTGGTTCGTGAAGGCCACAAGGCTCTGCGCGCAAGCACTGGCTCGTCAAGGCCATAAGGCTCTGCGCGCAAAGCTCTGGCTCGTCAAGGCCATAGGCTCTGCCAGAGCGCGCAAGCTCTGGACGCGAAATGCGGCAGATGATAGGCTACTGGGGGTGCAAAAGATTCTATATTTTATTCTTGCTGCGAACGCGCAAAGCAGCAGGGCTGCTGTGTTGCGCAAGGCTAATTTTCCGTTTTTGGGCACCCGGTCAGAAAAGAGTGACTGGCGCGCACCACTCGGCCCGGCCGAGTGGCAATCGCCATTTGCAGGGTAAGGCCGGGTAAATCGGGGGCGCACTACACATGAGCCGAGGACACAATCGCTGTACTGTACTCTTTGAAGCGGAGGAATCGTTTCCGCCCATGTCACCCCCAGTCGATCCAGTTCCAACAAACCAGATCCATGCATGACCTGCCTCTCTTCACGAGCGGCCAATATCATAGATACTCAAAGTATTCCCGAGCGGATTCTCAGGTGTAATCACCAACAGAAACACAGTTTCGCGGTAGTAGGTGTTTCTTGTTGTTTTCTGAATACAGTCACGACAGAAAATGCAACACCTGAAAAAAAAAAACTTGTAGCGAACCTAGATGAATTTCGAGCCAGATCAACCTCAACTACGGGAAGCCGCCCACTTCAGGAAAAATATACTGCACCCTCTTGACCCAAAAAATAAAACCCAATCGAGAAGGGATGTGACTCGGGAGGCATCAACCCTAAAAACAATGCCCTTTACCGTGTTTAGGGTTGATCCCTCCCGCAAATGCGTCCAGATTCTATAGGGGTTTAATTTTTCTGCCCTGTCGTAATTTTACGTACTTTAATTTAACAAATCCAAGTCGGGAGGGTAAACTAGATAGTTCTCTTTTTGTCACCTCCCAAACATTTCGACCAGCGTAAACAGTGTGACTAAACAGCGACAACCAATCAACGTCGAGAAAGTCCAGGATGATTACACCTGAGAACCTGCTCGGGACTAATCTGAGTATGTATGAAGTTGGCCGCTTCACGAGGGCACAGAAACCCTGGTAAGTAGCTTTCGCGGGGGTCCTACGAGCGACCCTGCGCTTTCCAGGGAACTACAGTGCTAGTTGCGGGCACTTTCCGCCCCTCTGACCCTCACACAGGAAAGTTAGAGCGTGTTACACCCAAGTAAAGATCGCTGCATTTTGAGGATCACGCTTGAGATCCTTACTAAACAGTGTCATACCTACCGCTGTACAGTAATCACTATGTCAGGTGCTGTACCAACAGAGGAAGGATCGAAATCACGAGTTCTCAATGCTACCCAATCTTGGTTTTTCTGAGAGATCGTGGTGACAGCCAAACTTTCGGTGATCCTTGCATCTTTGTACCACAGATAGAGTGATCCTTGATGACGAAAATTTCAACGTCGCAAACAGCTGTAACAACGTCCCGACTGTATCTCTCAGCGGAAAGGGGTCGTCAAGCGTGACGACCTGTGTGCTTGCAGGTAGTATAGCAACGCCCCCTGAAAGGGTACACCAGGCGCAGCGGAAGGAGGAGAGGGCAAGTGACGAGGAGGAGGGACCATGAGAGGAGAGGAGGTGGTGGGTGGCGGCTAAAGCTGCTGGCACACGGGCAACTGGAGCAACTGGCACACGGGCAACTGGAGTAACTGGCTCCACGGCTAGACGAGCGGCTGGAGCAACTGACTCACGGGCAACAAGAGCAACGGGCTCACGGACGACTGGAGCTGCTGGCTTCACGGCGGCCACCCCCCTTCAACCTCCCCTCCCCCTTCTCCCCAACCCCCCCCCCCCCCCCCACAGCAGCAGAAGTGACAGAGAGAGACATGGCAGTCAGGGCAGGCACGGACAGTAGCAAAGAGAGAGAAACGATAGGGGAGAGAGAGGAGGAGGAGGGCGGCTGGTGCTGAAACTTCACTCCTGCCACCCACTCACCCTTTCCCCCACACCAATAGGCGCGGCATCCTGTGAAGAAATGAGGAATGAATGAACTAGCAAGCAGGTGGGTACAAGTAGGAAAACCTAAAAGTGTTGTACCCCATATGGTCTACCCCACTACAGCCTACACAGACTATAGCATATGAGTTTGACACACCCCCATAGGCAAAGTGGGGGAGAACAAGAGGTCACAAGACCAGTCAAGCAAAGCAAAGCAAGCTCAGGGTGGATCACAACGTCACCACACATTCCGAGCAAAAGTTCAAGGCTACAAGGCCAGTTCACATGCAAGATCATATATAAAGGTAAACAAGCAAGTGCAGGTATAGAAAGATCACAGTACAAGCAAGGTCGAGAAGTGAGCAAGTGAGGCCAAGTAGGCACAAGACCTAGCATCGTACAGAAGCGCTGATGATCACAAGGCGGAAGTGCCTTGGTAAAGATATCAGCAGTGTTGGCCTCAGAGGCCACGTAAGCAAGGCGCAGCTGACCACGCTGCTGCAGCTCACGAGCAAGGAAGTAGCGAAGAGCAATGTGCTTCGTTCTGTGCTCCAGTCTGTGCTCCCGACACAAGGCCAGCATGGCCTTGTTGTCTACGTACAGAACTGGAGGAGAACGAGGCGGCGCTCCTAGGACAGTCAGCAGGTAGGTGAGCCAGCGTAGCTCCTGTGCAGCCATGGCCCCCACGTAGATCTCAGCCTCACAGCTGGAGCCGAGAACAGAAGACGAGCGGGTAGACCGCCACGAAACAGAGCCGGAACCAAGGCTGAAGGTGTAACCCTGTGACGACCGCTGCGTAGCCTGGTCGTCAACCCAAGAAGCGTCTGCGTGACCTGTGAGGACCACTGGACGTCGCCCTCCAAGCACTAGCCCCATGCCCGACGTACTGCACAAGTAGCGCAACACCCTCTTCGCTGCAGCCATGTGCTCTGGTCGGTGTCTCCCAGGAGCAACATAGCGTGCCAAGATGCTAAGAGGGTATGCAAGGTCAGGTCGTGTACAGGTCATCAGGTACATGAGGCAGCCAACAAGCTCTGGGTACGGGCCACTCGGCTCTACGGACTCATCCGAAGGCAGAGCTGAGAGCGAGTGGCGAGTAGACAGAGGAGTGGCCTGAGGCGAGGAGTACGTGAAGTCGAAGCGCTGAAGGACCTGCTGCACCATGTGTGACTGAGTCAGGGTAATGGTGCGCTGTGCTCTGTCCCGGGTGATCTGCAAGCCAAGGTAGCTGCGCAGTTCACCCAGGTCTGTGCATGTGTGTCTCTTCTGCAGCTCGGACTTCACGTGGGCGAGTCCAGCAGTGTCAGCAGTGGCAAAGACCAAGTCGTCGACGTACACGAGGATATAGAACGGCGGCAAAGAGGTGTCGGTGCGCAGAAACAGCGACGGGTTGGCAGTAGAAGGAGCAAACCCAAGAGCCGCAAGTGTAGTCCTCAGTGTGTCGTGCCACTCACGGGGCGCCTGGCGGAGACCGTAGACTGGCCGCCGGAGGCTCCACTGGGTACCAGGGGGAAACGACCCAGTGAAGCCAGGTGGGCGGCGCAGCCAGATCTCCTCGTGCAGGCTGCCCTGCAAGAAAGCAGTGCTGAAGTCAAGAGAGTGAAGCTCGTAGTCGCGCTGAGCGGCTATGTGCAGCAGCACCCGAAGAGTGGTCATCTTTGGGGTGGGAGAGAAGGTCTGAAAGTAGTCAACTCCCTGCCGCTGACTGAAGCCTCGAGCCACGTAACGCGCCTTGAAGACAGGCGGAGAACCCGGCGGCCGCTTCACCCTGAAAATCCACATGCCACTGACGATGTTCGTCCCAGGTGGGGGAACCTCGTCGACGTAGGTGCCTGTGGACTTCCAGGAAGCCATCTCTGCGTCCATGGCTGACTGCCACTGTGAGGAGTAGGGACCCTCGATCGCCTCAGCGTATGATCGAGGAGTCGGGATGTCTGGTGCATCCGGGTCTTCCTCAGGGGCAATCAGCGTGGACACGAGATGAGGCAAAGCAGCAGCAAAACACTGGAACTCCTCCTGCCTGTCCTCAAGGACGTCCGTGCTAAGAGCACACTCACCCCCGACGAACGGAGGACAGACAGACTCAGACTCAGCAATGAGACTAGCGGCGTAGTCTAGACGACAGCGAGCAGCAAAGTCGACAAGCTCAGCAACTAAGGCAGACGCAGCAGTGGACTCAAAGGAAGGGTCAGTGACAACAGTGGCCAGGAGACGTGTGACAGTAGGACTGGCAGCACGAAGAGAGTCAGACTCCGGGTCAGCAAGAACAGGAAGAGAGGACTCTGGAGGAGACGGCAACGGGACACGCAGAGGAGCAGTGGAAGGGCGCAGTGCCATCTGGTGTGTGCCTGGGACCGCAGGAGGACGCGGACGCGGAGCACGACCACTAGTGCGAGCAGCACGAACAGGCGACGCAGGACGAGACGCAGGCTCACGACGCTCAGCAAGACCTCCAGTAGGACCAGTGTAGGGAGAAGGAGCAGGCAGAGGGGAGGCGGGCTGTAACTGTGACCGCGACTGGACAGGCTGTGGACACTCTAAGGGAGGAGCAGGACCAGTAGAGGGCGGGAGACCAAGAACCTGCTCAAGGAGCGGAACGAAGTACGGCCGCGGCCGCGCAGCGCCTCCAGA